CATTTTAGTAGTTTCACAACAGAACAGTTAAAGCAGGTACACCTCATAGATGCACCTTCCCCTTTCTTCCTTTTCCCATGTGCTGTTTCAGTAAATTTTAAATGCCTTCCATACCTGTGATTACTATTCTTTTCTTTCAGATCCAATAAGATTTTGAAATGTCCTTTATATTTGACTGGATTTACAGTGGCTTCAGTAGCGTACTGCAATTTTTAGGTAAGGTATCCACAATTCCATGCCGGTGTTCTAATTTACATTCATGGAAGGTTCTTTCTGTTTTTATTTTTACACAATTCTGGTTAAACAACTTCATTTAGGTCGATGCAGATTGACTGATATTTCTTAATTATTGATTCAGACATGCTAAAGGACATACAGTACATCTAAAACACTTGCAGTCCTGTTCTCTGTCTCAGCATCCTAGATAATGATCTCTCGTTACAGTATTAAAATACATGAAAAACAAAACTAATACTTTGACCCATTTGCAAAATGTTACTTTTAATCTATGTTGGGTTTTGGGTCTGTCACAAAGAATAGAATCTGGCCTCTACTTTGTTTTAGCATAAAAATACTTATCTCTCCACAGAAAACCCCAATCTCTTCCATTACTAATCTTGATCTATACCCACCAACAGTCCACCTTGTTAGTCCACATTGCTGATTTAATTTTTCTTTACATTTTGATGTGGCATGCCAGTTATTTTTTCCCCCAAAATATCTTCTCCCTTTTACCCCCTGTATTCAGATTGTTGGGTTAGTAAATAAGCTTGCTCCTGGTAATTGTAATAAAGTGAGTCACAAACATGCAAAACTGTTACAATATCATGAGAGATATTATTCCCTACCTTTATTTTGTGAGAAACAAGGTGCTGGTAAACCAATTGAGGCAGGAGTATCTCAAATGGTGAGTTGTGACCCTCCAAGGGGTCATGTCCAAATTAGAGGCAGTTGACCATTTTTAAAAACATGGGTGGGTTTGCAGAGACACAATTTGAGTGTTCTCAAAACTCACTCTGGTCTTTGGTACCTGCTTGCCTGTGTAAGCCTGCAATGTTTGAGAATCCATGTGATACACAGGTAAATAAAAGCAATATCTCAAATTTTACCCCAATGAAATAATTTTATTTATGTGCCGGGGGTGCATAAATTCATTTATCATTTTAGGCCTTATGGTTGTAATGCATGTTTTGACTTGGTTGACAGTAGATCCCTGGAATTAAAGGGTGGGGTGAAGGTAAAGTACATTATTTTATTCCACTCACTAGCCAAAAGAGAATACATGGAACAATTGAAAGGATGAAATAGTTTGGCTCTATCCCAAGGCCTTTGGCACATAGTAAGCCAAATTTGCTTTTGGTTTACTGCGATGAGGGAAGATTATTTTATTTATTTATTATGTTTATATGCCACCCATTTCACAGTTTAAATTCTAAGAGCACATAGTGCTATACAAAATGCCTAGGTTTCATCAAAATGGTTTTTTATGCCATTCTGATGATAGTTAAGAAAATTAATTCCTGTTCATCAAATAGTCTCTTTCTTTTTCAGGATTATATAAGAAAACAGGTAAACTAGTATTCCTTGGATTGGATAATGCTGGAAAAACTACTCTCTTGCACATGCTTAAAGATGACAGACTGGGACAACATGTCCCCACATTACATCCCAGTAAGTCAATGTTTCTGTTTTAGTTTTAATGTATACTTAGCACTGCTTCAAAACTGAGATGTGCATTCTTAACTTTTATGCCACCAAAAAGCTTATGGGGAAGGGTATGAATTATAATGAGTAGTGGCAGTTTCCAAAATTCTTTGTTGATGAGGCGCTTAGAGGATGCACATCTGTCTTAGTGGTAAGGTGGTAAGGTTTATATTCTCCACTCCAGGCAACTTCAGTATTCATTCATTCATTAAACTAACAACTGCTGGCTCAGTAGGGAAGATATGTCAAAGGCAAGATGTCAAAGAAGCTTGAAAAGAACTGAACTCAAAACATGAATAAAGTTATTTGCCATAGTAATGAGGATCAGAATGATTCCATTGCTAATGTCTTTATAATCCAGAGGAGAACTCTAGCATAGCATAGCATAGCATAGCATAGCATAGCATAGCATAGCATAGCATAGCATAGCATAGCATAGCATAGCATAGCATAGCATAGCAGCACAGCACAGCACAGCACAGCACAGCACAGCACAGCACAGCACAGGTTTATTTGGCCAAGTGTGATTAGACACACAATTTGTTGCCAGTGCAGAAGCTCTCAATGTACATGTAAACCCACAGAATCATCATCATCATCATCATCATCATCATCATCATCATCATCATCATCATCATTCCAATAAGAGGGATGTAGCAAAGAAGATAATAAGGATAAATAATTATATTATAGCCATACTACATGGATAAATATACATAGACATTATTAGACAGCAGTGTGAGAATTAGGTGTTCATCAGAGTGATGGCACAAGAAAAAAACTGTCCCTGGGTCTACTTGTTTTGGCATGCAGTGCCCTGTAGCGCTGTCCCAAGGGGAGGAATTGAAACAGTTTATGTCCAGGATGTGAGGGGGTCTGTAGATATCATCTCAGCCCTCCTTCTCGTCCACGCAATATACAGGTCTTTTATGGAAATTATAATTCAAAGAAATCTCCTGCATCTACAGAAGACAAATTCAATATTACCTAGTTTTCTACTGTGCCACAAACTTCAATGTACCTTGCTCCCTTCTACTTTTCTAATGTGTCCTGTAAAAAAACTATGTTATATAAAAAGCAGTCATAGCCAGATGGGCTGTGGGAAACAAACAACATCTATAATGCGCCAATCAGAGTTTTACAAACTGTATGCAAGCTTTCAAGTTCTTATGACTTGAAAAAGGAATTAAATGTCAAAAATGTGATTGATTGTGCAACTCAGTCTATACAGGTTATCATATACAGTATCAAATTTTTGGAATACAGAGTTTGACATTTTATGAAGAATGTTGGCTCTAATGAGCCTGGGGGAATCAGTTATGAAAATTATCTTACAAAAGTAGAAAGAAAGTAAAACTTAGATATTAAACAATAAAGTCAAGTTATGTATTTTCTGTTAAATCTTTGAAACATCTTTAAACTGTAAGNCATTTTAGTAGTTTCACAACAGAACAGTTAAAGCAGGTACACCTCATAGATGCACCTTCCCCTTTCTTCCTTTTCCCATGTGCTGTTTCAGTAAATTTTAAATGCCTTCCATACCTGTGATTACTATTCTTTTCTTTCAGATCCAATAAGATTTTGAAATGTCCTTTATATTTGACTGGATTTACAGTGGCTTCAGTAGTGTACTGCAATTTTTAGGTAAGGTATCCACAATTCCATGCCGATGTTCTAATTTACATTCATGGAAGGTTCTTTCTGTTTTTATTTTTACACAATTCTGGATAAACAACTTCATTTAGGTCGATGCAGATTGACTGATATTTCTTAATTATTGATTCAGACATGCTAAAGGACATACAGTACATATAAAACACTTGCAATCCTGTTCTCTGTCTCAGCATCCTAAATAATGATCTCTCGTTACAGTATTAAAATACATGAAAAACAAAACTAATACTTTGACCCATTTGCAAAATGTTACTTTTAATCTATGTTGGGTTTTGGGTCTGTCACAAAGAATAGAATCTGGCCTCTACTTTGTTTTAGCATAAAAATACTTATCTCTCCACAGAAAACCCCAATCTCTTCCATTACTAATCTTGATCTATACCCATCAACAGTCCACCTTGTTAGTCCACATTGCTGATTTAATTTTTCTTTACATTTTGATGTGGCATGCCAGTTATTTTTTTCCCCAAAATATCTTCTCGCTTTTACCCCCTGTATTCAGATTGTTGGGTTAGTAAATAAGCTTGTTCCTGGTAATTGTAATAAAGTGAGTCACAAACATGCAAAACTGTTACAATATCATGAGGGATATTATTCCCTACCTTTATTTTGTGAGAAACAAGGTGCTGGTAAACCAATTGAGGCAGGAGTATCTCAAATGGTGAGTTGTGACCCTCCAAGGGGTCATGTCCAAATTAGAGGCAGTTGACCATTTTTAAAAACATAGGTGGGTTTGCAGAGACACAATTTGAGTGTTCTCAAAACTCACTCTGGTCTTTGGTCCCTGCTTGCCTGTGTAAGCCTGCAATGTTTGAGAATCCATGTGATACAAAGGTAAATAAAAGCAATATCTCAAATTTTACCCCAATGAAATAATTTTATTTATGTGCCGGGGGTGCATAAATTCATTTATCATTTTAGGCCTTATGGTTGTAATGCATGTTTTGACTTGGTTGACAGTAGATCCCTGGAATTAAAGGGTGGGGTGAAGGTAAAGTACATTATTTTATTCCACTCACTAGCCAAAAGAGAATACGGTACATGGAACAATTGAAAGGATGAAATAGTTTGGCTCTATCCCAAGGCCTTTGGCACATAGTAAGCCAAATTTGCTTTTGGTTTACTGCGATGAGGGAAGATTATTTTATTTATTTATTATGTTTATATGCCACCCATTTCACAGTTATAGCAACTACGCTGCTTCCTTTGCATTTAAATTCTAAGAGCACATAGTGCTATACAAAATGCCTAGGTTTCATCAAAATGGTTTTTTATGCCATTCTGATGATAGTTAAGAAAATTAATTCCTGTTCATCAAATAGTCTCATTCTTTTTCAGGATTATATAAGAAAACAGGTAAACTAGTATTCCTTGGATTGGATAATGCTGGAAAAACTACTCTCTTGCACATGCTTAAAGATGACAGACTGGGACAACATGTCCCCACATTACATCCCAGTAAGTCAATGTTTCTGTTTTAGTTTTAATGTATACTTAGCACTGCTTCAAAACTGAGATGTGCATTCTTAACTTTTATGCCACCAAAAAGTTTATGGGGAAGGGTATGAATTATAATGAGTAGTGGCAGTTTCCAAAATTCTTTGTTGATGAGGCACTTAGAGGATGCACATCTGTCTTAGTGGTAAGGTGGTAAGGTTTATATTCTCCACTCCAGGCAACTTCAGTATTCATTCATTCATTAAACTAACAACTGCTGGCTCAGTAGGGAAGATATGTCAAAGGCAAGATGTCAAAGAAGCTTGAAAAGAACTGAACTCAAAACATGAATAAAGTTATTTGCCATAGTAATGAGGATCAGAATGATTCCATTACTAATGTCTTTATAATCCAGAGGAGAACTCTAGCACAGCATAGCATAGCATAGCATAGCATAGCATAGCATAGCATAGCATAGCATAGCATAGCATAGCATAGCATAGCATAGCATAGCATAGCATAGCATAGCATAGCAGCACAGCACAGCACAGCACAGCACAGCACAGCACAGCACAGGTTTATTTGGCCAAGTGTGATTAGACACACAATTTGTTGCCAGTGCAGAAGCTCTCAATGTACATGTAAACCCACAGAATCATCATCATCATCATCATCATCATCATCATCATCATCATCATCATCATCATCATCATCATCATCATCATCATCATCATCATCATCATTATTCCAATAAGAGGGATGTAGCAAAGAAGATAATAAGGATAAATAATTATATTATAGCCATACTACATGGATAAATATACATAGACATTATTAGACAGCAGTGTGAGAATTAGGTGTTCAGCAGAGTGATGGCACAAGAAAAAAACTGTCCTTGGGTCTACTTGTTTTGGCATGCAGTGCCCTGTAGCGCTGTCCCAAGGGGAGGAATTGAAACAGTTTATGTCCAGGATGTGAGGGGGTCTGTAGATATCATCTCAGCCCTCCTTCTCATCCACGCAATATACAGGTCTTTTATGGAAATTATAATTCAAAGAAATCTCCTGCATCTACAGAAGACAAATTCAATATTACCTAGTTTTCTACTGTGCCACAAACTTCAATGTACCTTGCTCCCTTCTACTTTTCTAATGTGTCCTGTAAAAAAACTATGTTATATAAAAAGCAGTCATAGCCAGATGGGCTGTGGGAAACAAACAAAATCTATAATGCGCCAATCAGAGTTTTACAAACTGTATGCAAGCTTTCAAGTTCTTATGACTTGAAAAAGGAATTAAATGTCAAAAATGTGATTGATTGTGCAACTCAGTCTATACAGGTTATCAGGGCTTTTTTTCTCGGAGAAAAGGTGGCGGAACTCAAACCTGGCCACGCCCTCATCAAACCCTAGGACCGCCCCTTTAGAGAACAGGAATGCAAGTAAAATTTGGGAGGGGCTATTTCCGGTGTGGGAGGGGCTATTTCCGGTGCGGCCGGCCCGGAAAAAGGTGCCGGAACGCGGTTCCGCCGCGTTCCGGCNCAGGTTATCATATACAGTATCAAATTTTTGGAATACAGAGTTTGACATTTTATGAAGAATGTTGGCTCTAATGAGCCTGGGGGAATCAGTTATGAAAATTATCTTACAAAAGTAGAAAGAAAGTAAAACTTAGATATTAAACAATAAAGTCAAGTTATGTATTTTCTGTTAAATCTTTGAAACATCTTTAAACTGTAAGGGGCTGTATTTTCATATGGTCTAGATTCAGTAACATATTAAGGAGTTAACCTTCCTCCCTCCCTCCCTCCCTCCCTCCCTTCTCTCTCCCTCCCTTCTCTCTCTCTCTCTCTCTCTCTCTCTCTCTCTCTTTCTTTTTCTTTCTTTTTCTTTCTTTCTTTCTTTCTTTCTTTCTCCCTTTCCCTTTCTCTTTCTATTGCTGATAATAAAAATTATTTTTATTTATGACAATTTCAAATACAAATTTTAAGTGTGAAAGAAATCAAATAGTTAGGATTTTATTAAACATTTGCTTCCACTTATATAAGCAATCAAAAATATCTTACAACAGTAAAAATGAACTGTATAAATATACAAACTGTAAATATGATATTACAGTCAAAATTAGTCAAACATTAAAAACTCGATGGAGTTGGAACAGTTATTTATTTTTTTCAATTTGTCCTAATTTGGCCCTATAATGACATAGGCCATTAACCAACCCAGTACTTAGCTGATTTCAGAAATTCAAGGGGAGGATTTACTGAAAGATGTTTCTTGTTTTTTTAAAAAAAATAATTTCATGTTTCTATAGCTTCGGAAGAGCTGACAATTGCTGGTATGACGTTTACAACTTTTGATCTAGGAGGACATGCTCAAGGTAAGAGAAGCAAACAGGCAGAATTCTCACTGCGGTATCTGAATGATGTTAGTTTAATCTTTTTTTTGATGTGCCCTAGGGTGATCATACTACAACTTTTTTCCAGTTCTGAAAATCTTTCTAATATTGTGAATATTTGATTTTAAATTTCTTGTGTAGACATCTTTCTGATGTTTTTTTTCTCATAATAAATGCACATACTAAGTCTAAGCCTTTGTATTCTTTGCATGGATGAAGGCAACTTAAATGTTGTATCATTGCACCTTCATTATTCTAACACTTTCAGCAATTCATTTTTATTTGTAATAATAACAAAGTATGATTACAATTATCTTATGGTTTTTAATAGGATAAAATTACGCCCACTGAAAAATGTGACTTATGACAGTTTTTCAGTTATGGCCTTTGCGACATCTCTATGATCATGTGATCAAAATTCAGCTGCTTGGCAACTGGTTCATATTTATGACCGTTGCAGCGTCCCAGGGTCATGTGATCATCTTTTGCTGCCTTCTGACAAGCAAAGTCAATGGGGAAGCCAGATTCGCTTAATAACCATATTACTAACTTATCAATGGCAGTGATTCACTTAACAACTGTGGCAAGAAAGGTCATAAAATGGAGCAAAGCTCACTTAACAAATGTCTCACTTAACAACAGAAATTTTGGACTTAATTGTGGTCATAAGTCAAGGACTACCTGTACTTACTGGACAGGTTTTTTTAAAAAATTCCACTTCAAAATATAATTTTGTCAAAGGCTCTTAATACTATATGCTAATTCTACAATAAATCCACAAGAAACTGTTTTTCTCAATGTAAATGATACGGTTTTCAGTTTCAAACCCAGTGCAAAAGAAAAAAAATATATTCACTTTCAAAAACCTTTTCACATACATAGTTCCCAATGCCTTTTTAAAAAGTTTATCCAACAGAATGAAATGGTACTGCTGGTAGTGCTCAATTTACATTTGTTTGTTTAATGACCGTTCAAAGTTACAACACTGAAAATGTCATATAACTGATCCTAGCACTTATGACCATCACCGCATCCCTAGGTTCACATGATCAATATTCGAAGTGCTTGACAGCAGGCATGTATTTACAATGGCTTCAGTCCTGGGGCCATGTGATTGCCAATTGTAACCTTCCCAGCTTGCTTCTAACAAGTAAAGTCAATGGGAGAAGCCAGCTTCACATAGCAACAGCAGTGAATTGCTTAACAACTATGGCAAAAAAGGTTGTAAAATCTGGTCTGGCTCGCTTAACAACCAACTTGCTTAGCAGTGAAAATTCTGGTCCCAATTATGGTCATAAGTCAAGGAGTACCTGTAACATCTATGAATACAGTAACAAGAGCCACCAGCAATTTTCTGTTGCACTCTCTTTATAACCCTTTTTATTAGCTCGCAGGGTTTGGAAAAACTATCTGCCTGCCATCAACGGCATTGTCTTTCTAGTGGACTGTGCGGATCATGAAAGATTGGCTGAATCTAAGGAAGAACTTGATGTGAGTTTATGTGTATTTAGCACTTACTAAAATACAGATTAAAAGCTCATCATTGTGATGACTGGGGGGGAAAGCAACAAAACTTTTACGATACAAAATTTGTGTGGATATCTGTTGTGTTGTTGCGGGAAAAACCAGTTACTATTATCCTTTACTTTTCCTTAAATCTGGGTTAGTAAAGTCGGAACTATCAAAAGTCACAGGCCAGGAGGTACACAATTTGCCCAATCAGAATTGTGTTCTTGGGTATGAAACTTCTCCTTATTAAAGAATGCATTTGATCAACAGAAGATGTTCAAGGCCCATAATGTATATTCTATGTCTAAACTTGACCATGTTTCTTATTTCATAGCATTACTGGAAAGTAATATGCACTGTGAGATCAAATTTTCATCTCTTTGTAAACCATTGTAGGAAAATATTGAAGAGCATTTTATGTTTCATAACATAAATAAATGGACTTTTTAAAAAAAAATCCTTCTCATTAAAATGAAGTGAATATTTCTGGAAAAAATATTAGTAATAGTTCATCCCAATCCCCAAATCTAACTAGTTATCTTCTCATAATTTTAATAGTTTCCATTCATTATCATATATAAGTCATGTTATAATCTGATTGGACTTAAAATGATATTAAATGACCACATGACCATATCATATGGGTCAGTGAATCTTCAACAGTTCTGGCTTAGAAAAACTGATGTTCATTCTTACAAATACATTTTTGGGGGGTCAGATTTACCCTGAATACAATCTTTGATGAATAAACTCTTATCTTAGCTTGATTGATACAATTTTAACATTTTAAGATAGGAATCCATTTTTGGGGCTTTGTTATATATCATATTTGATCCTCTTTTAATTTTATGAAGTAGAATCACATGGAAAAAGCCATTTTGTATACAGTGTATCTGACTCTTCCTGCTTATTTTAATGTTCAAGACATCTGGAAGTCAGTCAGTATAGATACTTTTGAATACCTATACTTCAGAAGGTCTTCAGAAGTTTGTCCTTGTGTTTGATGTCCTTCTATTTTATACTGGTTGTATGAAACCTAAAATATTGTAAATTTCTTCCATTCTTCATAGGCATTAATGACAGATGAAACTATTGCTAACGTGCCTATCCTAATTCTTGGGAACAAGATTGACAGACCAGAAGCCATCAGTGAAGAGAGGTTACGAGAAATGTTTGGTTTGTATGGCCAGACAACAGGAAAGGTATGTGCCTTTTTCCATAACGCTAAACTCTGGGATTTAGTGTCTTAGCCATATTTTTTTCTCATGTATTTCTGTACTCTGCTTTATTTCTAGCTTGTCCAACATTCTGTAACAATTCCATAGTTCTAATGCAGAGTTTAATAATATCTCAGGAATTCAGTTGTAGCAAGTTTGTTGGATTTTTATCTAATTCATTATCTAATTGTGTTATTTACAATAAAAGTAAATTTCTCCTTTTTTTTCCTTGTGAAACTATTGCCAGATACATATTGCCTACCTAGAAAGTAAACAGATACCTATAACCAAACTATTTTTGTCAGGAAATAGAATATAGAATATTCTTTAGTGGCCAAATGTGGTTGGACATTAGATAAAAAGAGCTACAAGAGTTAAAGGTGGTCAACACTATCAAATAGTACAGTTGGGCATTGTCTTCCTGTAAAGAAAACTCCATCAAGAATTCTTGACTGAATTTGCACCCTCTTTTTTTTTTCAGGGGAATGTCTCAGTGAAGGAATTGAACACTCGGCCCTTAGAAGTTTTCATGTGCAGTGTGTTAAAGAGACAAGGTTATGGGGAAGGATTTCGCTGGATGGCACAGTACATTGATTAATGCCAAATTCACATTACTATACACTATCCAAACCTGTTCATGTTCTGATCAATCAGTGTACATAACTTGAACTTAACAGACTTTGGTTACAAAAGCGTTGTTTTTTTTATTGTATCAATTGTGTTAAATTTTAAACGTAAAGACTGAAAACAGATTTTAAGCAAGTTTGTCAATTTGGATCTTGTAACATTAGTCTCTAGGCCTATCAAACCACCTTCTTTTTGAATTAACTTATATGTTGTCTGCAGTTCTCACCCATTTTTGTTTTTAGCTTTCCAACACAGTATGTTTTTTGAATGCACTTTTTAACAGCTCAACCTTACAGACTTGTTGGTCCTATTTAATGCTCATCATGTTAAATTTTTAGGTATTTTTTTCAGAACCAATTTTATAAATGTAAAGTGAATAACGACTTCTCAAAGGATAGTAATGAATAAGCTTTATGAATAATTGCATGATGCCTTACATTTTTCAATAATATACTTTCTTATGCAACGTCATGCAATAAAACTAAATCCCATTTCGTGGCATCTTTAATGGGGAAATGTTTCGTTTTAATGTGTCTTAACCTAGTAAATACGTTTTAAAATGTGAATCTGTGGGGTAGTTTTCTAAAATGCAGTATAATTTCTGTGTACTGTAGACTTTTTATATTATTTATTTGATTATCTTTATGCTGGGAATGAATCACACTAACGTTATCCATGCTTGTGGATGTAAATGTTCAGTCACTGTTTTTTACATTGTACAGAAAGAAGCACTACTGTATGGTCTCGTTGTGTAGTGCACTGTGTAGTGCTAGTGAGTGCCTGAGTGCAGCTTTTTAGAAAACCATTGGGTTGGTACCGCAAATACACATTTAGAAGCCTTGCTCCTGTGTGAATTATGTTACTGGATTGAGTACGGTGTAGCCTGCTATCTTCCCCACTGCTCTGAGCGTTGGTCTTTCTTGTCACAGCATTCACACAATATGTCAAAGGTTGCAAAAGGTGACTGCCGTTCAAATGGGATGGAGAACAGGTCAGTACTTTGTTGCCACCCTTGACTACAGAGATGGAATTTTATTTTTTTTATTTTCTTTTAACTACATATCTGTTAATAAACGGAGAATGGTCATTCAGAGAAGGAGCTGTGTATCAACTTCCTGGTTTTTTTTTTTATTTACCATTGCCACAAAGTTCCACATTTTGATTTAAAAAAAAAAACAACCACCAAAAATGGATTTAGGAAATGAAAAAAATACCCTTAGAGCAAGCAGTCAATCGTTCTAAGAATACCTAGTGTCCTTGCATGCAATTTCTTTCACTTGTGGAGCCAAGTGCTCAGATGGTCCAGGAAGCCCTCTATGGACGCTGTTTGAAACTGCTTTCCTTTCCTTCTCCCTTCAGTCACGATGCTGATTAAGATTCATATGCTAGATTTAAAAGTGAATGGAGAGAAGGCCTCACACACGGATTAGAGTCGTTAGACTGCTTTGTGTAAAGCCTTGGAGGTAGGGTTTTCGAAGGACTATAATTATTTTTATTATATATACTTATTATCAGGAAATAAGCTTTTCACTGATGCGTACCCCTATGCCTTTTCAGAAGAGCTGGAAATGAGAGCGTAAAGGACAAAGTTGATATGGTCACTTGTATCTTGCTGAGTTATAGTACAATGCAGTTAGTGCTCAATTTATGACCATTCTTTTAACAACCATTCAAAGGTACAATGCCACTGGAAAAAGTAACTTACAACCAGTTCTCGCACTTACAACCCTTGTAGAGTTCCCATACTCCCATGATCAAAATTCAGGTGTTTCTGAAGTCAGCATGTATTTACAATTGTTGCCGTATCTTGGGGTGGGGTGGGTCACAGGGTCCTTATTTAGGAGGCTTCTGACGAACAAAGTCAATGGGGGGGAGCCAGATTTGCTTAAAGACTATGGTGAGTCACTTAACAAACATGACCGAAAAGATCCTAAACTCACTTAACCGCATCCCATCCCAATTGTGACCTACCTGTATACAAATATAACATTTAAAATTTGTTCAAGTGTACACTTAACCTTAAGAAGGCAATTATATTTTTGGGAAGATACTAAACCCTCCTCCACTACCACTACCACTACCACCCACACTCACCAGATTAAACTTTATAGTTCTGATAAAGGAGATCTTGACCATTAAAATCATTTTGTTTATACTGCCTGTAGCTCTCATTTTGCATGCTGTTGGTCTTCTATAGCTTTTTCTCCCCTTTCATTCAAAATGCTTTTAGAATCTGAAGACATCTTTTTCAGTAGACACTTCATAAAATTAGAATGATCAGTATTAGAGGGAACTAGCATCTTGATTTTAATTGTTGCAAAGTAATGAGAGAAATGGTTTGATCCTGCTGGTATCTGGAAATGTTATCTTCCTTGATTCTTTATTTTAATTGTAACACTTCCAGATCTATAAAAGAAGGGCACAATAGTTCTTTCAGTATTTGATCTTGTGTAGCCATCTCAATCTTTTTCTCACCCTCTTGGTGTTAATGTAGGACTTGAGTTCATACAGCTTATTTTAATGTGTTCTCATTTAATGTGTTCTTGTGTTCTCATGTGTTCCTATAACACATAGGAAGCCTTTTCCTAGAGCAAAATAATGTGTGGATAAAGTCTCTTGGATACAATACAAAATACATTTGTAGAATGGTTAGTTATCGCTATCAGTTGAATCTCTCCTCTGCCATAGTGAACCTGTCAAGTTTTCCAACTCTACATTTTTAATTCATCCTCGTTAGGTTTTATTTTTATTTTAATATTTGTAATGGTCATCTCTTAAATAAAAAGGTGCAAAACAGTGAACATTGCTTTGCAACTTGCTGGGTCAGATACTATAGCAAGTTGTCTTCCAGATACAAAATTGCAAATAGCAACTGTTTATTTCTCATCTTTTGCTCTAGAATGCAATTGCTGCTCCATGCCTTCAAAGTTACAAGTGGGTAGTTGCTGTATAATATGGCAAAGCAAATACAGCAACTCAAAGTTGCCAATTGCTAACCAAACTAATATGGAGTAGAAAGTTTGCTATCTTGCAGTGGTAAAAAAACTAGAGGTAGTCTTTGACTTATGAACACAATTGTGCAGAATTTATGTTACTAAGCAAGACAGATGTTAAGGGGTCACGCCCAATTTTATTACCATTTTTGCCATAGCTATTCAGCAAAACACTGCAGTTATTAAGTAAATCATGTGATTGTTAAATAATCCAACTTCCCGACTGACTGCTTATCAGAAGCTGACCACAGACGACAAATAACCCCAGGTTGCTGCAACTGTCATAAATACAATGTTGGTTGCCAAACACCCAAATTTTGATTATGTGACTATGGGGGGGTGCTGCAATGGTCATAAGTATGAGGACTGTTGTTGTAACTTTGAATAATTGCTAAATGAATAGTTGTAAGTTGAGGACTATTTATATTGCACCAGACACATTATTGACATAACAGGAACGTCCCACTGGACTTCTGACATAAAAAACATGCTTATTGTTTGTTTCTCATCCCATTTTCAGAGCTGCTTAATACAAGGGAAACTTTTTTATACAGAGAGAGATTCCTTTCTTTATAGGAAACTGCAGGAATTCCACACACAGTGGAATGATATGCACCCAGGACAGGCATCGTTGTGGTTTATGAACTAAACACATTAATCATCATCAGAATTCATACAGTTTCTTCCATTAGGCTGTCTGTAGAAGTAATTTAAGTTGCGGCTTTAACATCTTATTATGTTTCAAGCATGTGCATAAGGCCAATCTTTTTCTATTTTAATCCCCTCTGCTAGAATAGTGTATCAGTATTTATCAAAAAGGGAATAAATACAAATACACAAAATAACTTTTTCTATGACTTAAATGGGAATTGCTTCTGTGATACGAAGAAATCTTCACCTTTCCTTTCCACCTCTTTCAACATGGAACAATTTCAGTCAATTTAAAAGTTACGGTATGTATTTAATTTCAGGAAATAGTTCCCAAAATTGTTCAGTCATTAATTCTGTGTGTGTCTGCAACAATGTTTCCCCCATTGAGGGGTGGCTTGTTAAATAGCTTTCATTTAAAGGACAGCAACCGTGTGCTGAAAAAAAATAAAATTAACTAATAAAATGCTCATATGAAATATGCCTAATTTAATATGTATTCCTAAAATTTCATCTTTCCCCTGCTTGCCAGAGCTTGTTTTTGAGACAAAGAGAAAAACATGCTGCAATTATTGATTTAAATTTAAATTTTGATTGCAGCTTACTGTGGTATTTAATTATGCCCTAATACCAGCATTGGATCTAGATATACTAGGGCAAAAAATAACTGGCTGGCAAAAGAATACATATATTTGATCTTTATCTTTATAAATCAGGCATATATGCATTATCACTTATTTGTGTGTCAACTCTAAATGTCCATATGAAGTTCAAGAAAGCTGAACCCAAGTCTTTTGGCAACCTTTGGCGTAGACAGAATCACTTTGGACAAAAGGAAGGGCTTCAAGCTGCCATGTTCATGCCTTGCGATTTTCAAAAGCAATAAAAACATTTGTTCAAATCCTAGAGAAGAGCTTAGCCTGTTTACTCTTTATTTTAAGACTACGAAGCTGATATCTCTCCATGTGACAGTAGCATCAGATCTATTTAGAGGATTGTAAACATGAAATCATCCAGAGAGATTTATTTGATTCCTGACCTGACCTTATACGACAGTTACAGAGACTGACTTCTACAAAGACGTGACAAACTATGGGATAGCAGCATCTGAACCCCCAAGAATAAGCTACCAACCTTCTTCTGATCTACTTTGCTATCTTTTTTACTCTCAAGACTTTTGAGATTGACAATATATGCACTTCCAATTTAAATGGACAAGAACCCAGGCTAAAGAGCAGCATTCCTAAGAAAAGTCAGTTGGCCTTTTTCCAGAATTTTCCTTTTCTCTTCTTAACTTGTATAGTTAGGGTATATCCATCTATCACACAAAATCCATCACTCTCTCAACTAAGTATCACAGTAGCTTTGCAGGATCAAGCCAAAGTCTTTTTTAATCCAGCATTTTGCTTCTCATAGCAGTCAACGAGATGTCCCAACGCTCATAGGCATCAACTGGAACTATGCATCCCCAGCTAGTATTTCCTGTGCAATTAGAGTTTAGGGGTCACATAAAGTCATGACCGCCATAAATTTACCCATTACCTTGTAAAGCCACCAAAGTTAATGGCCATCACCATGTCCTGTGGTAATAAATTCTACATAGCTCCTGTGTCAAGAAGTATTTTCTTTTCTGTATTCTAGATCTTCCAGTACATTTATTTAATATTCCATGGTTTTACATTTCTAAGAGAAAGGAGGGAAACTTCCTGCTCACTTTGTGCATCTTAGGCATAATTTTGTACACCTCTTCATCTACTCTTTAGCTTTTATCCAAGTTAAAGAATTCCAAACAGTTCTATCTCCTCATATTAACGGTATTTGAGCCCTCTGATAATTTTAGTTGTTCTGTTACTGTATGCTTTTTCCCCAGATCTCAGCCTATCATCCTGTAATTTCTTATCAATTTCTGTAATGGCCTACACTATTAAACAAAATATCTGGACAGACCCACATTGGGAAAGGTTGACCCAAACAAAGCATAATGAAATCTGTCCTAATAAAATGGCTAAGATGACAAAGTTACAGAACAGCACTGTTGACAGATGCAGGAAGACAATGGGGTGGGGTTGGGATTATGAAAACTGAGCTACTGTACTTTACAAACCATAATTTATGGCTTAGTGCCAATAGGTGAACACAGCCAATTTGGCTTTGTTTATTTATTAGACCTTGGCTAAACAAACTGTGAGTTTGTGTGATGTATGAACCAAGCAGTATCTAAGGCAGAAATGAATCAGGCAGGGGTCAGAAAAGCCAACTGCCCATCTTACAGCTGACTCCTATTAATGCTTTCCCTCCCCCCATTTATTTATACATGAATGCTATTAATTTCTGTGTTAAAAACTCTTAATAGTTCTAGGTTACATACAACATTAAAACATCTCCCATATCAAAATGTATTCAAACAAATTAAAATGCAAGGCATCTGGATCAGATGTCGTAAAGCTAAT